CCAATCAATCCTTCAAGGAAAAGATCCGTCCGGGTGACGCAACCGCTGCCGCCGCGCTCGCGCCTTTGGGAAGCTGGAGCGGGGGAGGAGGGGGAGAGAGGCGGTGGCTTTGAAAAGGGAAAGACCGCGTTCGCTGCCAACAAAGCGAGAGATTTAAAGGGCCAGAGCCCCAAATAGCTACCGTCGAGCCGAGGGGAGTTTCCGACGCGTCCGCAGCCTCTCTCAACAGTAGTTCTTGCTGCTGTTGCTGCGGGAGACCTCGCTGGCTCCAGCCCGGGATGACCCCGCCAGAGGACGCCTTTCAGATGCTCCCGTGGCGCGGAGTTCCTGGTGCGCAGGTGCTGTTGCCACTTTGGTTCCGCCCCCGCTCCGGGCAAATCCTGCGTGGGTCCTTGTGTCGAGTCCTTGCCCCGACCGTGGCCTCCCGTTACCCCTGGCTTTCCCAGCCGGAGGGAGACCCAAAAGTGGGGCCGCCGCCGCCTCCTCCTTCCCCGCCGCCGAAAATTAAAACAGACGTGTTTCCAATGTAGATGGCAAAGAAACATCGTCTTCCCAGGACAGCTTGGTTTGAGAACCGGAAATATTTTGTTTTAGAAGCACCGTCATCGTGATTTTTATTGTGCATTAAAAAAACCAAATCCTTCACCGCCACGTACGCATAGCTCACCGGACTCCTATTTAAAATACAAGTCCGAGCCAATCTACATTGCTTGAGGCAAGGGGAACGGGAGCGTCCCATCCCTATTCCATAAACAGAAGGCTTGCAAAGGCTGACAGATCAAGCAGATCTCTATATCCGGGACGGGAGGGTGCCCTGTGTAACCCATGCGAGGCAGAAAGTCAGTTAAATGACCTCAAGGTGAGTGGGAAACAACCCGGACCGGCCAGGATTAGGAGCCTAGAGACTGCGAGACTGCCCCTCAGGAGCTGTCATTCCAGGTCATCCTCCAATTTTCATATTTAAGACCACGTCCGTTAAAATCTCTTTCCTTGCCCGCATGTAACATCTATTACATAACTAGTGTGTGTACAGGTGCAATTTACAGTATTTATTGTATTTACACACTAACACATACAATTAAAAACTAATAACTATTTAAGAAACAACCCCACGTTGGTGCCTGGCATTCCTGTAAGTTCTGAACATGAAAACAGAAGCACTTAATTATCTTAGAAGCCAGCCTTATTCAATTCATCAGGACTTACTTAGTTTCCCCCCTTAGTTTTAACAATTCGGGCACATCAACTGAAGAGGCTTTGCATATCTTAGAAGCCAGCCTTATTCAATTCATTCTAAAGGCATGTCTTTCCAGCTGTTATTATGCAATCATTCCACCTCACTGACAGAACTTTGTAGCCCTAGTCTTCCTGTCTTTTCTCATTTCTTTGTTTTTTAACAGAATTTTTTATAAAGGACATAAAAGTCAGATCAATGACAGAAAAGTCTTTTAACTGTCAGCATCAGGAGCACATCAGGACGTGGTGACAGACTTATATATTTTTTAATGGACTCGGTGACAGGTTTCTGGAGGTTATGAGATAAAGTGCTCTGTCTTGATCCATATTGTAAATCTGACACATTTCTGAAGAGAAATGCAGCAATGCAGGCGAGGAAAACTTGTTTTGCAGAGTGGAGAATGTAAGTTCAGAAGTACTCAAGGAAAGCTGCAATCTGCAAAGTTACTGTACCTTGGAGAAAATCCCAACAAATATCATGCACTTTAAGAGCCTAGTGGCACACTGCTTGGAGAAAATCCCAACAAATGCATGCACTTTAAGAGCCTAGTGGCACACTGTTTAAACTGCAGTACTGTATTGCAGTGAAGACTCTGCTCATGACCCGGCAGCACACTTTGGCTCAGGTAAGCTGGTTCAAAGTTGAGTCAACCTTCCGTCCTTCCGAGGTCAGTAAATTAAGAACCCAGCTCACTGAGAAATCTGTATCCTGCACAATTAAGTTGTAAACTACCCATAGAGAAAGCTTTAAGCACTATTGGGTGGTATATAAGCAGCACACTTTACTCCTCAGTAAACATGGAAAGGGTTGAAATTTAGCAGTTATGTACAAAGTGCCTCATGTCCCCTGCCAAGGTCTTGCATTAATACAAAGACCCAGCTGAGCATATACTGGAATATGGCAGAGCAAGGTGTATGTGTAATACTGCAGGATGATTTCTCAAGCCATTAGGTAACCAGTTAAAGAACAATACTGCTTCTCTGCTAATAGTACACTGCTAGTAAGTGTACTGTTCTATACAAAAAGGCCACTGCTCCATCTAGCTCAGTAATGGCTACACTGCTTACTAACAGCCTTCCAAAACATCAGATTTCCCACACCTTCCTCAATCTGGCATGGGCTAAACTTGGAAATTATTTTGCATACCAAATATATATTCTGTTACCTCAGCCACAGTCCTTCCCTTCAACGAAAACTTTGCTGGAACTTTCATTCCATCCCACCTACTGCAGCAATTCTTGTTGACTTAGTTGTCTTTGGACCAAATTTAGCTCACCAAATAAAGCAATATAGATCATACAGTTGATTACTCAACTGTGTCCCACATTCTTTCAAAGAATAAATTCCAGTTTGGGCAATAGGCCTAGGCTATAAATGAAGTTCTCTTCTCCATAAACTTTCTACAGAACCAGCTTCTTATGACTGAGCTTTTGTCAGTACCACAGAAAGGGTGGTAAGACTGGCTTATAAACTAGCCTTTGTTTTGCCAGAAGGAACCAGCTTCCCTCACCTGTGCAATTGCTAGGAGTAAACATCTGGGCTAGAATGCTCTTGTCAATTTACATGTCTGTAAGTTAAACTGCATAATTCACCACAGCTAATTAACAAGGTACCAGTCATCTTACCAGGCATGTACCCGTAGGGCAATCAGAGCCCCCTTCACAAGGTGACAATCACCCTCTTAGTGAACAGCAATTTGCCACAATTTACCATGCAGTTTAGCTTAGGCACACCTGAACCGCCAACCAACTGCTTCTGTCAAAAATCAAAGCAGTTATTCTTTAGGACACCACTAGGCTTTCTTTACACATTGTTTTCACTGAACATAAGCACAGTTCAGCTTGGGAGAGATGGTGTTGTGCCATATAGATAAAAGAAAGACCTAGAGAGCCAAATATCTCTGGTATTTATTTAGCAGGCTTTTGCTAACCTACTGCCTGTACTCATTTTGTTGCATCAGGTGCAATGCTAGACTGCAGTGTCATGAATGTGCAAGTCCAAGGAGTATAACAGACCAGTGACTGCTGACAGTCACCAAATGAATCTGCTAGTATTTATCATCCTCATGAGAAATATATTTTAGATGTACTGTATGCATTACCAGCATTCACTTATGATTATACTGTACAAGCGTTTTTGAAACTTGCATTAGCGCTTTAGCCGCTATACAAATCAAGGTTTTTAAACATTTGTTAAGCCAGTGAAAGAGTATGTGTTTTAAACTGGATCAATAGTGAAACTAAACAAAAAACTTTTCCTTTTTATGTCACCTCATACTTGTACAGATTGGATTTTATATAACAACCACAGGCGGAAATACACACATCATCTAGTGGAGATCTCAGTTGCTTTGAGCACTGACTAACAGGATACAGAATCTCCACTCACTCTCAAAGGATTCCATATGCTTTCGCAAAACAGATTTAAAATGGCTACATTATACAAGATGGTATATAGTGGTGCCTCGCTTAACAATTACCTCATTAAACGATGAATCTGCTTGACGATGAGGTTTTTGCGATCGCTATAGCGATCGCAAAACAATGTTTTAATGGGAGAAAATCACTTTACAATGATCGGTTCCCTGCTTTGGGAACCAATTTTTTGCTTAACAATGGTTTAAAAACAGCTGATTGGCAGCTCTCAAAATGGCTACCTGTTGTGCAAAATGGTTCCCCGCTGTTTTTAGGATGGGTTTTTCGCAAGACAGGCACTGTAAAATGGCTGCCCTATGGAGGATCTTCGCTGGATGATTAGGTATTTAGCCCATTGGAATGCATTGAGTGGTTTTCAATGCGTTTTTCCCCGATTGACGACGATTTCGCTCTACAGCAATTTCGCTGGAACGGATTAACGTCATCAAGCGAGGCACCACTGTATAACCTTTGCTGTCATATAAAACCAATCCTAAGTGATCACTACACTACTGCCGAATTTATTTTACTGGGGGAAAATTTATCATTAGAAAGATGATAGGTATCCCCTATTGACTTTTTGGCTAAGATGATATGACATGTCTTCATAGTATCAGTCTTCGTTTTGAGTAAATTATTTAGGGGCAACTTCTTTCACAAATTCTTACATAGCAGTGTGCCATCATTTATGCTTCAAAACTGGGTAGCCAATCCTTGGACAGATCTAATGAGGTTTTTTATCTGGTTCTGCATGGACAAATCTCACCTAGTATTCCTATGCAGGGCCTAGTTAAGTTTGCTAATTCATTTCTCCACCATAAATATGAACATTACCATGTGATGGAGTGTAATATTACAGTTTTAAAAGTCTAAAATTTAAATCAAAAGGGATTGGTGAGGTAGGTGGAGGAAGTTTTCATAAGGACTTGACGTCTTGAATAACGTTCCATAAAACAGATGCACTTAGGCCAAACACATGAGTTAGACATGCTTGTTTGGAAGGCTGTTTTAGAGGTATTTGGGCTCAGCCCTCAGCTGTTACAAGTATTTACTATCCCAATATTTAGTGCTCCTTAAATAATGATCTGTCAAACATAGCATGAAGAGAAACGTTTGTTGTGGAAAGGAATTAAATATGATGTGGGGAAATATTAAAACATTTCAAAACCATTAAAAGTTAATAAAAATAATAGCTAGGATAACTGTAAGTTCCTGCTGTATCTGACATGGTATTAGGCAAACAATTCCTTTACTAATTCCAAAGAACATTTATAATGTGTGAACAGCCATTCTACTGGCAGATATTTTTTCACCCTTTTTAAAAATGGAAGGAATAGAGAATACATATACTGTATTTCTTTTTGAAGTACTGTACTAGCATACAAACTGCCAGTCAGTTCATGTGCACCCTCTAGTGGCCATTTTTAAAAAATACACCCAAAGACATCAATTAGATTAGAAATAAAGCAAGAGAAACCTTTACCAAAGTAGTAGTATGGCCATCAATCTTCCATTTATCTATTAGCATAAGGACTTGCTTTTGTACTTGGTGTAAATGTGTTTGTTAGCAAAACAAAAAGTTGAATATGATGTGAGTAATGCTTAACAAGCCATCAGTTGTGTAAGCATCTGGTGAAGTAGGCCACAGGCCATGAAATTTAACCTTTACTTGTTAACCTTTGAGGTACCATAACTCTTGGTTTTGGAGCTACTGTATATGTATTTCAATTCCATGAACATAAGACACCAAAATCGTCTGCCTAGCTACACAAATGGCATAACTTTTGGAGGCATACTGCTCCAAGTTTAAAGAAAATCACCATATACATTACCAGTTGCACACTGAGTCATACAAGTCAATATGCAACTAATAACGTCTATGGTGATTTTTTGTGTTGTGTTTAGTCGTTTAGTCATGTCCGACTCTTCGTGACCCCATGGACCAGAGCACGCCAGGTCTTGGTGATTTTTTACTTGGGGTGATTTGCCTCCAAAAGTTACACCATTTGTGTAACACCAATAAAACGAAGTAAGATGATTTGGGCCAGCAGATGTAGAGCAAAGTTCACAGCAAACTACTGATCAAACAATCTGATGCATTAGCTAATGAAGATACTTTCATACTAGGCTATCTATGTACTTTAAGAACAAAAGGTAAACAATATGGAGCAAAGTACTAAGTGCTTTCATCTGTGGCACCAACACTATACTGTTGAGAGAAAATGCTAATCTTGAGCTTGGCTACAGATTCCCTGTATGAATGGGGAAACTGCAGATCTCCACATATAATAGGATTCCAACACCCAATCAGTCCCTTGCTATTGAGCAGGGACAGTGGGAAATGTAACCCAACAAAACCTAGGGTACCGCAGGGTCCTCATCTTTATTACAGGCCCTGAAGTATCTGCAACAAATGTACAAACCGTTTCTCCAGTTTTCCCATTCTGACTTTTGAAGGCTGGTCAAAGACATTTGGCTGCAGGAGGCAGAACCACAAGTGGTGTGCCCCATCTACCCAAATTAAAGTACAAATCAGCCAAGCAATTTTGGCACATGAGGCAGAAAATTCCACAACTACCTTGTCAGTAGAAAGTATAACAAAGTAAATATATAACAGGGTGTTGTCCTTTTATAAAACCTAAATTCTGCTACTTGTAATAGATGCCTCACACTGATTAATGGCAGGGCCAGCCTTGCTTCCATCCCAGAAAGGGAAAGTATACAGTGAAGTAGCACTGCCTAAAAGCCTGGCCTTTCCATGAGTTGGGAGCTAGTTGTTCTCTTCAATCTTTCCTTACCATGAACCTAACAAAAAGTTTATACTGACTTGCAAAACCAGTATATTATTCATGCTTGAAGCTTATCTTTTGCTAACAAAACCTCTAGCAGTATTCACAAGTATTATCATTTACAAAGTGAAGCAACAGTGCCTTTTAAAGGAAGACTTCGCTGGGAGCTGTGACCATAATTAAGCAAATCCATTAAATTCAAAACTGACAGTGTAAGGTTTTTTCCCCCCAGATGAATTTTCCTAGAGTGTAAATGGCTATAGTATCAGCATGTGGAATTCTTCTATGCCCATGCGAAAATAAACTACATTTTGGAAGATAACCCCAGCATCAAACTATGACTAGAACTCTATAACATATTTTTAACTAAAATTCCACTGAAATAAATGGAAATGCCAAGTAAACATTTGTATATTGAGCTATAAATGTCCTTCAAACATATCTGAAAGGAATCTAACAGGATGTATTTATGTCCCATCAAAGTCAATACCACTTGTTATTACATCAGATCTTGTGCCCACTGACAACCAATAATTTTATAAAAATGTTTCAAATCAAACGTATCAAGCAAAACCTGCAAGGGCCAGTTGTTTCATGGCTTTGCGGCCTGAGCAGCTCTCCAGTGTACTTACATGGCTCAGCTGACCGTCTTTTAGTGCTATGTTTTCCCTTCATTTCAAATCAAAATAAAAAAGCAAATGCACCTAATACACTGATTTGTTGTTGTTTACTTACATTAAATACACCGGTAAATCAGCTGTTGAATTCTGTTACCATGATTGTTATTTTAAATGCAATGTAAGAGCCTTCTCAAAAGCAAAAACAAAAACTGATCAGAAAAGAAGAATAAGCAGAAAAGAAAATGTGTGTGTTTTCAGAGAAAGCTGCAGTGTCCTTTCCTGGTCCAGGAACTAGCTAGGAAGTAATAACAAAAAAGTTTGTGATCAATAATTAAAAGAGTTGGGGGCATGGTACTTGAATACAATATCTGTTTTTGCTGTGCCCATGAACTGAATACAGCACCTTAGCTTTGTTGAAAGGCAAGAGGTCATGCTTATTTCCCGCTTCTCAATCCTCTTAAATGAAGAAACACAACACAGTATGTGTGCATAATAAAACATGGAACTGTCAGTGAAGAAGGCTTTAGCAGCAAATGCAACTGAGTGTGCAGCAGACCATTTTAGGATTCTCCCTCATACACAGCCCTACCACAACCCAAAATATAGGATCTGAAACAAATATAGGAAAGGCCTGTTATTTCCCAAGGAAACCTAAACATCTTCATCACTGACAGCTACATGGGTTGCACACACAATAGTACAGAGGACTTCCCACAAGAAACAATTCCTCCCTTCAGGACAACTGGATGAGGCAGCAGGTAACAGCACATATCAATTACAATCAATTCAGCTCTGAAGGATTCTTGCTCAAGATTTGAACAGGCAGGTCACTTAGGCTTCTTCGTCATCTGTGCATACTGCAAAACGGAAGCAACTACTAGATAGCCTTTTCAAAGGCAGAAGAATAACTGCAGAGGATGATAGTGGTGCAGGATGTAACAGTTTCATTGCCTGGCTTACAAGGGTGGCTAATAGCAAAATTTAAATCTTAAGTGCACACACTGCTCATTCAGTATTTAATGTGCACTCATGAGTGAGAGCAGGTAGATAAAAGTCTGTAGAGTGTAGAGATACAAAAATATGTGCAAAAATTAAGTTTAAAACTGTGCATGGGAAAATAACAGGAAAGGGTGTGCGCATATGTACTTAGGCACAATTCATTCCATGTTCTGCCACAACACCATTCAATGACTTAAGAAGTCTAAAAGGGGTAGACATCAGAATATACCAAGGAGATCTTTAAACTAATACTCAGCTGTCTTGGAGACAGATCTGCAAAGCAGTGGAGAATTGTTTCACTTCCAAAGCTGAATTAATGGGAAAAGGTTCATTTCCTCCAAAGACACTGGACTCTTGCTAGCTGTTTAAAGAGCAAGATGTAGGTGAGAGAGACAGTAGCATGCTTAGTCTTACAGATCAGCACTATCTACAGCTAAGTTTAAAAAGCTATTAGTTTGTTTAGATAATAGTAAGGAAGTAAAAATCCCACTACCACCCACCCCCTTAAACATTTTTATACACAAACATTTGTGCTGTATTATTTACAAGTACACTGAACATCAGGGCTGAGCATATCTAATTCAGTTATCAAGTTTAGGCAGCCCTTGAAGGATGAAGACAGACTACTCTACTGTTCCCAGAGCCACCATTCAACAATGTTACAGAGGGCAAGACTGAGTTTCTACACAAGGAGATTTCACAAGGTTGTAGGAAAGAATCACAAGGCAAACTGGGTGCTCTCTGGCAAGGAAAATAGTATACAAAGTACAGTACTGTTCCTTCTGCTAACATCTCTCTCTTCTTCTAGTGTCTTGTCTGGTTTCTCATTTTCTTACATCTCCAACCCCACAGTCTAAAGCCTTTACTCTGCAGTGATTTTTAGGAAAAGGCTTTCTCCACAATCAGCTAAGGATGCAAGCACACTTCTCCTTTTGGCAACTCAGAACAACACTCAACAAAACGAACAATGTTGTGCATTCTATAGGTTAATGCCAGGTATGGACTGAGCACCTAGAACCTATTGAAAATGAATCCTGGCAGGCTACTCAGTTGTAGTCCAAGAGAATAAAAAGAACTTGGTATCTGTGCAGATCGCTTCTTACAACTGCTGGTCAGACCCATTGAGTAGGTAATAGAAAATCCCTAATGGGTCTCCAATAACTTCAGTGCAATAGGCAAGTAAATCACCTGATTGTTGACATAAGAGAAGGAGAGAAACATTAGGAACACTAGTTGTGCAGTTAAGATTGATCCTCAGCAAATGAGTCTCCTCTAACTCAACCACTGTCATTACAATTTCCAGGCATCTACCAAGTCTCAACAGAAGGTCTGGAAAACCTGTTTTCTTAAACACTATAGTCATAAATACATGATTCTTATCTTCATGTCACTGAGATCTACAACCACATTGATACTGCAGTAAGCAAGATATTAGCAAGAATTCAGATATGATTTCCCTCTCCAACCCAGTCCCAAAAGCCTGCCCTGGAAAAAGATAATAAAGGACACTGCAGCTTTTCTGAACAGAGAAAACAAATGACATAAAAAAAAACTGAAAGGAGCCCCTCAAAAAAGTCTGCATTTTCTGAAGAAACCCATTAACCTTGCCCTTAAAAACAAATCTACAAGAATTACATTTCCCCTCATTTGTGACACCCCCATAGCATTAAACAAAATAAAGGGGGGAGGAGGTGAAGAGAGGGTGGATGTTAAAGGGCCCAAGAACACAGATTTTATCAGAGCAAAGACGGGGGGAGATGGAGGGGGAAACAAATATTATCTGGGAGAAAACAGAGCAGGGGGATCCAAGTAAGTAGGTAGCTATTTGCACCTATTATACAAAGTGAAGAAGAGTTTGTTTTTGGAAGTTAAGTCCCCGGTCGGTCTATCTCCACTTTTCTTGGGGTGGTGGTAACAGACGTCTGGTGGTGGTTTCTGAAGCATTAGAAGTGCAGTTAACTGAGCTCTCAAGAGGAGGAAGGGGGCGGCTTCCAAGTGTACCGATGCTGTTACTGGAGGTGAGGTGTGGTGGAGTGGGGTGGGAATGGAGGTTATATCTTATCTCTCACTGGCTGCTATAAAGCCACTGCTTAGTTGCTACAACACTGGCTCTTGTTCTGCTGAGACTGCTCATGAAGGTCCACACCTCGATTCCGACCCACGGCACCGCCTGTGCTCTGGGGCTCACTCTTTGGCAGCTTCTTAGCTGGAGTGGAGAAAAGCCATGTGTTAGTTCGGAGAACTTTTCTTCTTTTCATACCAAAAGAGGCTTAAGCAATGTGAACAAAGTTGGTCTGAGAAAGGAACAAAGGGTACTTAAAAGATCTGAGGCTTCTGCATCTTCACTGATGTTACGGGAATGCCCCCCCCGACTGCCAAGTCTAGTCACCAGTTTCAGAAGGCATTCTGGGGCCATCTGATTCAAGAGACTGTGATTGTTTTTTGTTGTTGTATTTACCTGTCTTACAGCAGCTTTTATGCATTGCATGCAGGTTTATTGTATTTAGCATATATTAAGTTATAAAATTTGATCATTTATGATATACAACACCTCTTTAAAATTATGGTTCCCAACAAGTAAGTTTCTACAATGTCCAGCAAACAAAGCATCTGCTGCTTTTACATTACAGTCACAACTACTGTACAATTCTTCCTAAAAGTGCTAAGGTACCGTCTACAAGGCCTTCAGGGCATAATTTGCCTTCCACATCACATTTTGGAAGCCCTGAGGTATTTTATCCCTTAAAAATCTTCCCTCTTTCTAAAGAGCTTTTAAGACCCAAAGGAGGCCATAAAAGAGGCAAAAATGAGTGTAAAGGTAAGTTGTACTCTGCAGAGGTCTGGGGGTGGAATCTGCATGTCAAGTCAAAAAATCTTTTCCCCAGAGAATTAGGGAGCACAACCTTCCAAACTCCAGAGAAGGGCAAACAAGGCCCCTGGGCTGTTGAAAGTTTTCCACACCACTCCATACTCATCAGCATCAAAAACATCCTTAGCTCTTTTTCCGGTTGGGTGCACCATGACAGCAAATTTTCCAACAAAGTAGGTGGAGGAAGTGGGGAGATGTAGAATTTCCGGAACATAACCAACTCATGGTCTTCAAAATCCCTTCTTTCTGTAGCAAATATTAAGGCCCATTTTATCTCTAGGACTCAAGTAGGACTCAAGAGTGGCTACCCCAAGAATAATAATATATCTGTACTGGATGCCTCTGTTGGGCCTTAGAAGCTGTAGGCAACATTTGGAGGCTGCACATTTGAAGGGAATGTTTAGAAAAGGCTAGAAGTCCAGCTAGAAGTCTCCTGTTGTACAAGATAAGGCATAATGGAATATTTGCAAAAAAGTTTTTCATACTCTTCAGTCAACACATGCACCTCCCAGAAAGGCAGCATACTCCCAACACTGAACTACTACTAAACAACATCCAGTGGATGCTTGGTAGTAGTTCAAAAAAACAGAATGCTATAGAACTCAGTTCTTGTTATTAAACCAAATCAAAAGAATTTTTTATTGAGAGCCAGCACCTACTAATTAATTGTTAAGTGTCTTAGAGTTACCTATTGCCAGGAAGAGATCATTAACATTCATTGCTGTCTTGGCTGATGTCTCCATAAACAATAGACTGTTGTCATCTGCATAAGCCTGAGCCTCCTGGAACAGAATAAGAGACAGAAGTAGAAGATAATCTTGAGATCTGACTGCACATTCTGGACTAGATATCATAAACTAGCCAGACACACTTGTTCAACTTTGATATTCAAAATACATTACGGAATTTTAAAGATGTCTAAGAACCAAAGGAAGCCATTTACCTTTGGCAGAGGACAGGTTTAGAAAATAATCCTTAATGAGTGCTTAAGAAAATTTCATTATCCAAAACTGTCATCTCAGTTTTTTAATTTATTGAAATATTTTTATCCCGCCTTTCTCCTTAAAAATGAACTCAAGATTGCTAATGCAAATCACTTTGCAAATGACACCACAGGCAATACCGTGTTTGTTTCCTAATGCGGTATATAATCAGTGTCATTTTTATTTTATCTTTGTGTCACATGGAATCTAAAATACTAGACATATGCCAAGAATTTCAGCGTTTGTCTAATAAAAAACATTTTTAACCAGTTTTTTGTTGACAAGTTATACTGTAGACAGCATGAAACTTGCAATGGTTTTGAGGTGGCACTTCATCTACACCAAAAAGTATTTACCAAAGTGTTCTGCGGGAAAGAAAAAGAACATGAAGGTTCAGAGTTTGTATCCCAACTGCAAATGCTAAAATCCACACCTCCGCAGTAGAGAACATGCTCTGTCCCCAGAATCAATCCATGCCATCTCTTATTGGGGAATTAACGCGGGTTAATTCAGCTGTGGTCTACTCTAGTGCTAGACTACTGCAGATAAAGCAGCCCAGATCACGCAGAATTGTTTAACTAATGGAATCTGCTTCTCCAGCCCAAGAAAGTCCCCATGTTGCTTGGATTCCTGTATTTCCTATAACCTAATGAACAGAGAAAAGGAACATAAGCTTCCCAAGGTGTTGGTCAGCAACATCCAGAGCTATATATTTTCCCATGCCCTGCTGCAGAACTTTGTCAAACCATGGGGAACTTCTTCACAGAAATGACAGTATCGCAGACAAAAGGTTTGAGAAATGCTACTTACTTCATATTCTACCATGCGCTTGTTGGCAAGATCAGCCTTATTTCCTGCTAAGGCTATAACAATGTTTGGGCTAGCTTGCCGCTGGAGTTCCTTCACCCATGTTTTCGCTCGTGCAAATGTTTCCTAGCAAAAGTGAAAAAGCCAAATTGTCAGGTACAATAACAGATAAAGATGCTATCTACCACTAACTCCCTCATACTGCAGCAGTACATAACCAAAGGCTTTTCTCACCAGAGGAAGCACTTATCCATTGGGACTTTGAAATTCTCAAGGACATGCTGGATCAGATTGTAGGCCTATCTAGTTTAGCATTTTGCTAGCCACGAGATGCTCCCAAGAAGCCCAGGAGGAGGACACAATGGCAGTAGCTGCTGTGTCCAATTGAAAGGAAGAGACACACAGCCTCAGAATCTCAAGGATGTATATACCCACCATGATCACTAGCCATTAATAGCCTTCTCCATGAATTTGTGCAACCTCCTTTTAAAGCCACTTAAGCTTGTGCCACCATCATATTTTGCCACAGTACATTCCAGTTTTCTTTTTTTCAAAAGCGTCCATCAAACAAAGAAAAAGCAAGGTGAGTAATCTCAGGAGCCCTATTATTTTATTGGTTCATGGATATTAACACACACATATCTGCATGCTGTGGGTGCCTGTGCTATTCCCTTTTTAAACAAATAATAAATTGCTGTCTCGCAGATCTGAATAAATGGAGCACACACCGAGATGCAGTTGGGGTTTTCTGTAGTGTGTCAACACACTGTAAATAACCAACAAGCAACAGGCCTGTGCCTCTTACACATTTACAGGAAAACCACAAATACAGTGGTGCCTCGCTTAACGGGCGCCCGGTTGAGCGATTAAATCGCTTAATGAGGGGCTCCGGGCCATCGCTGGAAACAGCTGATCGGCAGTTCCAAAATGGCCGCCGGAGGCTTTGCAATGTTTGCTAAGCGGTTCGCTGAGCGAATATCGCATAACGAAGCAGGGGAGAACAGCTGATCGGCAGTTCCAAAATGGCCGCCGGAAGGTCCGCGCCGCATTTTCGCACCCTGCCCTCGCTTACCGAGGGCGCGAAAATGGCAGCGCTATGGAGGAACATCGCTTAACAGTGAGTTTTCAAGCCATATGGCTTTCCCCGTTCCGTTCAGCAATGTTTCTGCATAGCTGTACATGTTTTGTAGACAATACTAACCTTCTTACCTATAACATGCTAAACCCAAGCTGAGGTTGAATTATTGAAAGATAAGGAAGCTGTGCTTTCTGCTGATGGGTCTTCAATTCAATCACAAGGCAGAAAATAACCAGAGCTTTTCACTGCACACAATCAACTATGAAATTTACTGTCATAAGACACAGTGATAATCAAGATTCACTGCTGAAAGAAGGAACAGCCAAGATCGGCTGCCCTAGTAAAGGGAGCGTACGCTGTGCTATCTTGTCACTTACTGCGACTTCACCTGTGAAACTCTGGAAACAGAAGACACCACCACCTCTTTGATGGACTGGGCCCCATGCTAAAAATTTCCAGCCCAAAAGTTTACTCCACCTGTCTTATGAGTGCATCACAGAGTTGGAGCATATCTTTGGGTTCCATAGAGGTGGGCCCACCACCAAAGAGAATGACCCTTGGGGTTGAAATACAAGGCCCACCCTTTGCTAGAGAAAAAATGAGGAATTATACTGCCTTCCAGCAATGTATATCTGCCTGCTTCTCATCAGTTTACATAGTTGTTAAAGCTGGTGTTATTCCCTGAAGGGAGAAAGTATTTTAAAAAGAAGGAAGAGAACAGGGAGGAAGGAGGAATGGCCCATTTAATCACTAAGGATAAAGATACAAAGTGCTTGTTGTTCCCAAAGTGTCCATCAATTCAGAAGGTAGCCTTGGCAACAGGCCCCATGGGTTGAAAATACTGCTGAATACCAGTCAGTGAATGGGAAAACAATAACCAACAAAAACTTGACCCTGCATGAGCACGCTGACCATGCTTATATTACAAAAACCTGGTCAGACGAGATCTGGAATAGATGGAGAGGCTTGAAGTGTTTCAGAACTCTATGCTTTCCACGTATCAGTCCCAACTGATATCTGGCTCACCCAGTTTCATGGGCCCAACCTTGGGTCCCCAAATGTTATTGGACTGCAACTCCCAGAAGCCTTCCCCACTAGATGTGTTGGGCAGGATTTCTGGAAGCTGCAGTGCAACATCTGGGAACCCAGTGTTGAGAACCACTGCTCTAGAACACACCAAGTACTTCACTGTGATACTGAATACCACTCAGTGGTACTTAATACCACTGAATACCAGTGACTTGGGAATAAATCCCACTGAATTCAATAGATTTCTAATCAGGTTTTCTCAGAAATATCAGAATGTAAATTATTCACAATAAATAACTTGACTTTTTTTGAAGTAATAACTGTATTAAGACAATGCATAAAGATTGTGCATTACTTAATCTAGAACAGGCTTGTCCAACCTGCGGCCCAAGGGCCGCATGCGGCCCTGGTCAGCTCATAATGTGGCCCAGTGCAATTTTTTATTTTTAAAGAAATTCCAAAGTTTCAAGTTACACTGCCGGTGCTTGCGGCTGGAATGTGGCCAGGGCATGTCACAACAGTAGAGGGGGAAAGAGGGAAGGAAGGAAGGACTGGAGGGGATGGGACAGGGAGGCTGCGTGACTGCATTGTGCCATCCCCATCAATAGGTGGACCCCCTCCCGGCCCCATAAGGCCGCCGGAGTCGAAGCTGGCAGCCTCTGATGTCTGAGATTGCAGCTGCCAGTAAGCGTGCTTGGAGTGGGGCTGCGGAGGATGGCTAGGGCTGCCCACCCCATGCGGCCCAAACCAAATGTACGTGTGGCCCAAACCAAATTTTCATCTTCTGATGTGGCCCAGGGAAGGTGAAAGGTTGGACACCCCTGATCTAGAACAAACAGAAACTTGAAGTCTTCACCATAAAAATAAAATCACAAGTAACAGTTAGTTTGCAACATATGTTTCCACAGAGAAAAGACGGCTATATGATCATCAGACAGGTGTCTCTCTCATTAGTAATAAACATTAAATTATTCAAAGGTTCTAAGCAGTAATAACCAACTAGCCAAAAACTCTGTTGCTTAGCCCAGTAAACCATACCACAGTAGGTCAACTGAATCAGTGGAGATTTGGTTAATCAACTCCTCTAAGTTCTACTTTACAATAGTAAGTCACAGTTAGACTAGGCCTATTTGAATAAATGAAACAGAGAAGTTGACTCACTAAATAACCATTGGTTTCATGGTCCCATTCTACTGCAATTTATTACGTTAAGCAACAGAATTTTGATCATTGTGTTTCAGTCCTTAGATGGACCTGTTGCCATCAATTTTCCAATGAAGATAGAAAACAGGTTTAAAATAACTGAGCAGCTGTCAAGACACATGGCCATTCCGATTATATGAGACCTCCATACTATTTAATCATGGGACTGCTTTTCGTACCACAAATTATCAAAACAATGCAAGCTTACCTGGTTAGTTATGTCATACACCACAATGGCAGCCTGAGCCCCTCGGTAATACATAGGGGCCAAACTGTGATATCTTTCCTGACCAGCTGTGTCCCATATCTCAAACTTTACCGTTGTGTCATCTAGGCAGACCGACTGTGTGAGGAAAGCAGCTGTGAAACAGAAAGGTAAAGAGCTAATTTATGAATTATCAAAATGAATATCTTTAACTTTGTCACATAACACTGTTGCTGCTCTGAACTAGGTATAAGATTGGACCATCTCAGGGTGCAAATGGAATAATATTTATAAACACTACATTGCACAGAAAAGGTTCTATGTGTGAAAAACACCATTTTTCTGTTCTGAATCAAGGGGAAGCATTTCAAAATTAAAAGTTACAACACCTAGATGCTGGATCAAATGATTAATTCAGAGGTTTCAGCAATATTATAGCGCTGTTAAAAAGGTATTGTGCATCCACTTCAGTGAGCTTTAATCATAATACATGTTTTGAAGATGAGGAAGACAAAATAATTCAAAGTAATGTATTCGTGAAGGCTTTCATGGCCAGGATCTAATGGTTGTTGTGGGTTTTTTGGGCTCTTTGGCCGTGTTCTGAAGGTTGTTCTTCCTAACGTTTCGCAAGTAACAGAGACTGGTGAAACGTTAGGAAGAACAACCTTCAGAACACGGCCAAAGAGCCCGAAAAACCCACAACAACCATTTCAAAGTAACATTAACAGAAAAAAATAATACCGGTCATTAAAATAACAGCTAGTTTGCTTGCTGTGTATTTTGACAGTTAAAATATACAGCTATGTTTACAATATTAAAACACAAAGATGCAGAAGTTTTTAGATCATACCAGTGTTTCTGAAGTTGTACTTTCTAACTTATGCTATGTTACACCCTTTCTTCCCCAGGACAGCCAAACCCAGATTCTGCTTTTCAGAGACCAAGTGTCACTGATGGAATAGGATTACCTCTCCTACAATTTTAGAAGAGGGCTTTTTTTTTTTTTTTTTTTTTTTGATAGGGAAAGCCAGTAGAGTGATGGCTGCTCTTGAAGCTGAGCACAGTACAGTCGAATTGGAAATCAATGCAAGTGTCTGTGCTCTAATGGAGACTGTGGATAAAGATATGTGACAATCTGGGATGCTTCCCTATATTTTGAACTACCTATTTTCTTCCCATGGAAGGCAGATACCCAAAACTCACTTACCACCAATCGTGCTCTCCTGGTATTCATGGAACTGTCCCTTGACAAAACGCAGCACCAAGCTGGACTTGCCTACTGCCGATTCACCCAGTAATACTAGCTTGAACTGACAGATCTTGCTGGCTTGTGATTGACCATTTGGCCTGGCAGCTCCTCTGCTGGTCATGGCCTAGATTCCAAGAGCAGCCTGTGCCCCAGCCAATGCAGAAACCTACCAATCGCAGACCAGTTGTGAGACCAGAGGGTTTCTTCTGGCTGAGAATAGAATAACTGTTTCCTTCAAAGGGGTAGCTCCTCCTAGAATAAAAGAGGAAAGATCCATCAGTCTGCTACACATGTGAAAAACACAACACTAGCATGGATATAAAAATACATCCAAGTTGTGTGAAATGTGAGAAATCAGAAGGAAACAAGGTACCTTCTGGTCTTGTTTTCCACATCTGTAAAATGGAAGGAAAGTAGCAATGCATTAGGAGACTTGCAAAAAGAGCACACAAACCTTTGTAAAAAGCACAGGGAAAGAATGTTCAGTGACAAGGTGGCCACACAATTCAGTCACACTATACTCTGCTGGGAGAGTGTTATGTTTCTGATATCGCCTGCATTTTAAATGGACCTCAAAAGCAACAGTTACATTAAAATTTAAAAACCCAGCCCTCCAGAGCAGGGGGAAACACTACTGTGTGCAGTGAAGATGTGTGATCAATGGGGTCAGCAACTCCTGTGGATATCTTTCCTGCTCACACTCCTTGAGATGGTATGAGCAGTCCCTAAACTGGAATACCCACCACATTGTACAGTACCAAAAGTCTATTCCAAAAATACATTACAGTGTTACCTAACATCTCAGTTTCAAGATGCAGCTGTCTGAATGTCATTGATCAACAGCTTTTGTCAGATTAATGCTTTCCCCTCCCCTTTTCCTCAGGGAAACTTCTTTTCACATCATAGGACTACTCTAAGATTAACATCTGTGTTAGAAAAATGAACTTCATGACACACAGAAATAAAAACATTAAATTCTTAGGTGCCCTTGAGACTCTTTCAGTGTCTTCTGAATCCCAGTTATAAAATGGCATCATGATTGTCTCCGGTCCCATCTGCTGCTGCAAAACTCAATGCTATTTGCTTCACCACACACGTAACTGGGACCCTCACTCATAGGAATTCACAGATTCACAGTGGGCTGGACTCCACTGTTACTGCAAAATCAGAAGATGTGTCCAGTGTGCCGTGCTTAGGTCAAACTTTAATGGATGAGTTTCAATTGTTGAGACCCGAGGATGCGGACAGGGTGCTTGGATCTGTCCGTTCTACCACCACGCCGCTTGACCCTTGCCCATCTTGGCTAATTGGAAGATCTGCCAGGGGGGTTTGCACTTGGGTCCAGGAGGCTGTGAACGCCTCTTTGAGAGAGGGAGTGGTCCCTACTGCCTTGAAAGAGGTGGTAATTCCACCACTCCTTAAAAAGCCTAACCTGGACCCAAGGCTGGTGGTTAACTACCGACCAGTGGCGAACCTCCCTTATTTGGGCAAGGTGTTGGAGCGGGTTGTGGCCGGGCAACTCCAGGCGCTGCTGGATGAAACGGATTTTCTGGATCCATTTCAATCGGGTTTCAGGCCGGGTTTTGGTACAGAGACAGCCTTGGTCGCCCTGTATGATGACCTTTGCCGGGAGAGAGACAGGGGGAGTGTGACCCTGTTGATACTCCTGGACCTCTCAGCGGCTTTCGACACCATCGACCATGGTGTCCTTCTGGATAGGCTGGCTGGGTTGGGAGTTGGGGGCACTGTTTTACAGTGGTTCCGCTCCTTCCTGGCTGACCGTGTCCAGAGGGTGGTGCTGGGGGACAGTTGCTCTGCCCCATGGCAGTTATGTCATGGGGTTCCTCAGGGCTCAATACTGTCCCCCATGCTGTTCAACATCTACATGAAACCGCTGGGAGAGGTCATCAGGAGGTTTGGGCTGAGGAGTCAGCAATATGCTGACGACACTCAGCTCTACCTCTCATTTTCCACCAATCCAGGTGAGGCGGTTTCTGTGCTGAACTCGTGTCTGGACCTGATAATGGACTGGATGAGGGTTAATAAATTGAAACTCAATCCAGACAAGACGGAAGTGCTGTTAGTGGGTGCTTCGCCGGACAGGTTGGAGGGCCACTTCCCTGTCCTGAATGGGGTTACACTCCCCCTAAGGGACAGGGTCCGCAGCCTGGGGGTGCTCCTGGACCCCAGTCTAACACGGGAAGCCCAGGTGGACTCGGTG